TGTAAATATAAATTAACTATTTATTACTATTAAATAAATCAAAGATCTCCGGAGGTTAATATATAATTTTTTGCTCCAGAGTCTTTTAATGACGATGGAGTTTCTCCGGAGGTCTACGCCCGAAGATTTGCGAAGATCTTTGCCAAAAAAATTTCCTGATGAATGTACTAACAATGTTTCAAAGACTAATGAATAAGGTGTTGACAAAATACTTAGAGAGAACAGTCATCATCTATCTCGACGATATCATCATTTACTCTGGAATGTTTGAGAAACATCTAAACTAAGTGAAGAAAGTCTTGCAAAAGCTAAAAATGACTGGGTTAAAACTCAACATAGAGAAGTGTATAGTTTTCTATTTTAACCTTCAATTTTTAGGGCATATTATCAACAGGAAAGGAATCAAACCTGATGATATCAAAATCAAAAAGATAAAAAACTTTCAATACCTAAAAACATAAGGCAGTTATGACGATTTATCAGATTATTTTCATATTATTGATATTTCATAAAAGGATTTGCAATGATAGCCCAACCTCTACATCACTTGCTTAAAAAGGATATTGAATTCCAATAGAAAAAAGAATAGGATCGAATATTTGAAATCTTAAAAAGACATCTGGTGACAGCACTGATTCTACAGTATCTTGACTTCGCGAAGACTTTCTACATACACACTAATGCTTCCAAATATGACCTGAAAGCTATTATAGCGCAAAGAAACAATGACAAAAAAGAATTTGTTATTGCTTATGCAAGTTGCCAGTTGATGCAGCATGAAAAAAACTATTTAATAATGGAATTAAAGTGCTTAGCTGTTATATGGGCAGTAAAGCATTTCTACTATTATTACGAATTAGCTCCTTTTGTCATAATAACTGATTATATGGCACTTCAGTAGTTGAAGATGTCAAAACTTATCAGGAGAAAAGTTGGGTAGATACTTTACCTCCAACCATACAACTTTACTATCCAATATAGAAGTGGATGAATACATAATAATACTGACACATTATCCCACTTCTAGGCACTTGAAACTTTTCCCTCTTTTTGAAAAAAAAATAAATATATGAGAAACAGAATCCAGTCCAGATTTTGATGTCCTGGCATAGCAACTAAATTTACTTTGTTTAACTTCTTATAATAACTAGAAATAATGGACCCAACATATTATAATCAGTTAAGAGCTTATCTACAAAATTAAAAATTATCTTCAGATATGATTATGATGGAAAAATACAAACTACAGAAAAAGAGTGAATTTTACAAATATAGTAAATGTAAAAAAGATCTGGACTTTTGTTTCATTATATAAAAAAGTGTGATGACAACTGAATTCTAGGTAAGTTTATTTTTGAAATGAGTTATTTATATTAAATAACTTATATACACTGGTTTATATAAATAACTACCAAATCAGTACTAGACGTGAACAATATTATCCAACACTGATCTTGCTGTGTAAAGAACAGTCGTAAGGCAGTTATAGAATAATGGCATAAGGAAACCTGCTGAAATCGTATGAATTACAGGTTTTCCAAAGAACACAATATATAATTATATAAATCAACTCAAAAAAAGAGGTACTCTTGTCCCACTTCCTATTCTTGGAAGACCCAAAATTCTTATACTGAAAGAGCGTTATCATCTCAGGCAACTCATATGAGCCAAGAATATGGTTACTGCTACTAAAGCAGCTGCCAGACTTAATGAAATCCACCCAACTTAAATATATCAGTTCATACTATTCAGGAAGTTCTTAAAAAAAACCTTCAATATATTGTTTGCTGATCATTATGCATTTCCTTCTTCAACCCTCCTATATTGCTGCCCATCTTGACTGGGTCCATGAACATGTGCAAGACAAGTGGTCTAGCACAATTTTTTCTAATGAAACAATACTACAAATGTTCAAAAATATACAACAAGTAAGGTACTATTATGGAAGCCTGTGTTTGTACTGTAACATAATAAAACATCTATTCTAATTCATGTATAGGAAGTGTTTTCTATATGGGGGCCAATCGCACTAGTTTTATTTATAGAAACCTTAACTTACAAAGATACTGCAAAATTCTTGAAACTCACTTTTTCTCTAATGCTTTACAAGCAGGTCATGATTGGCATTTCCAGCAGGACAACTCTCCCGTTTATATAACTTAGATTACATGTTAGCTTTTTGAAGATTATTATATTTGAATGCTCAACTGGTTTTCAAAATCACCTGATTTGAATCCCATAAAGAACCTATAGGCCATACTAAAAAATAGAGTAGAGAAAACCATAAACAATAGGTTTATAAAAAAAAAAACTTAGCACTACTGATTTTCAGTTAATTATTAAAAAAGAATGGGATGGTTTAAATCAAGACCTCTACCTTAATTTAGCAGGTAGTATGAAAAACCATCTTGAACAAGTGATTGAGAGAGAATGAAAAAAATCTGACTATTGATATTTATATATATATTTTTTATAATGATTGTCATTATTTTTGCAAATTTTTACACAAATAAAGTCTATTTTATAAGTTTTTTATTAGTCATAAGAAAAGTTCAAATCTTTTTTACAACTATTGTCTAAGGATAGAATTCTCTATAAAAAAGATCAATTAAGAAAGAACCAATAGTTACATGTGATTCAAAAACATGAAGTTAAATCTATACTCTTTTATTATATCAATATCCTACAGGTGCTCATTTTGGTAAGAAAATCATGTTCAGAAAAATTCATAGCATATACTTCTGACCACAAATATACAAAGACATTAGGAAATATGTTAACAGCTGCAATTCATGCCAGAAGAGAGGAACAAGAAGAAATACATCTGGACTATTACAATCCATACTGGTGGTTACTCTTTTTATCAGATTGGAATAGATTTTATTGGACCACTTCTGTATACCTCTAGACTCAACCATTATATTCTGGTTATTATCAACTATATGATGAAATGGCCAGAAGCAAAAGCTGTAAAGAGAGCTGATATTATAACTATTGTTGACTTCCTGTATAATGAGATCATATATAGATATAGTTGTCCACAGCATATCATTTCAGATCAAGGAAATCATTTCTAAAATCACATAATCCAAGAACTGATGCCAAGTTTAGAACAAAATATTGTTTGACTATATCTTATTACCCTTAGATAAATGGGTTAATTAAGTATTTCCATAAAATGTTGTGTGAAGCCATAGCTAAGTTGATTGAATATGCCACTAATTGGAATTTACTTCTACCTTTGATTCTTTTTGTTTACAGGATGGCAAAGAATTCTATAATGAAAATGTCACCTTTCTTTTTAATATATGGAAGAAATGCATAACAACCTATATATCCAAGCTCTATCACAAATATACTAGAGGGAACAATCTTACAATGAACCTTTAATCTAATTGAACAACTTCCAAGGGTTCGACAAACTATGATTCATTACATATATCAAGCTTAAGCCTAACAGAAAACTTACCATGACAAGTAATACCTGGGATTCCTAGAATACAGCATATGAGACAAAGTCCTCATATATAGAACCACCCTACAATATTCAAGAAGCAACAAGTTCAACCCTAAGTAGTGAGGATTGTTTTACATACAGTATATGATCGACTATCCAACCATGTATACCAGTTGTGCACAATGGATGGCAAGGTGCTTGCATTCCCAATTAATGCCCAGAACTTAAAGAAATAGCATAAGAGAAACTGATCACATAAAGAGAAAAGAAAAATATGTGATATGCATACAATAAGTGTGGAGAATATAACAGGTGAAAATGGAATGCGATATCCATCACGTGACTGATTGTCGCGTTAATGAAAAGATGGCTGTGAAGATTAGATAATAAGGGAGAGACAGAAAGGAATGTGAAAAAGAATTATGTCATCCAGCTTTAGCCATACCATTGTATTAGTGACTAGAAGTATAAATAACATGTAAAATGTAAGAGATAGAGAGTAGTCGTAGTAGTAGTAGTAGAAGTGAGAAAACCATTAAAGAAAATTAATAAAGACTCAGTCAAATAAAACACGCCTCAAATCACCCTTCGTTTACTTACCTTGTAACGGTCACGCGAATCTCTGCTAGAGTGAGCGACAGACTCACCGTTACATCGTTACAGTAGATAACATCTACTATATTACCAGAAACTATCTACATTAACTTACCTTTTCATAAATCGATTGCCACTTTGTATAATTTGCCGTTTTTATATGAATTTATTGCTTATACATATTTACTTTTTCAAAACAATCGCCAGCCTTGCGCCACTTTTTCGCTTTATTGTAACAACGTGCCGCGGACTCATACATCCCTTCTCTGGCGTAAACATCACCTGCTTCTTCATGCATGTCAACATCCTAATTGCACGTTACAGATTTTCGATTGTTAAAATTCAGAGGCATAAGTAAACCATCATATCTATCAAAATGGCAAATTAAAAATTTACTTGATAATATGAAGCTTCTTGCTCTACCCGAGAGCATATCTTAAAAGCTTCAGCGGCACGAATGAATTTGGATTTTACAGTTTCTTCATCAAAATTTCTAATCGATGTTCTAGCAATTTGCCGAAGGTGATACGCATCAGCTAGTCTTCGGTTCTGCTCATTTTTACTCTTTTTGAAACAGAAGACAGCCTAATGTAAAAAAAAAATAATAATAATAAAAAAGGATAATTTCTAATTAGTTGAACAGACTAACAAACAAACAAACATTTGATATAATGATATTTCACCTGTTCATATTGTTTCCTTTCAAAAAATGTCTTTCCGCGCTCGTTCCATTCTTCAGGACTGCTCTTCCTGGCTAAGGATAAATTCGGAAGTCCTTCTGTGTTTGGGATTACGCGGACCAACTCGTGATGCTTCCAATATGCCAGAATTGGTTCACTTTGTTCTGAATTATCATCCAAAATCCAGAGTCGATGTCGAGCTCTAGTCACAGCAGCATAGAGGTTTTTAAGCTCGGAGGAAATTATATTGTGCTTTTCGTTAGAAAAAATCGGTGTTCCTTTGGAGTAACCTTCTACTGTAAATCAGAGAGTATTACACGCCACTAATTTTGTGCGTAATACAGTATAATTAGTAAACCATCAACGTACGTATGCCTCTCATTGTTCAAATATTTTACCTTTGAATGTGCAGGCGAGTCTGTGAAAAAATTATATAACAGTACGTCACAAAACTCCATGCCTTTCGCCTCGAACACTGTCAATACCATTGCAATGTTTTTGTGTAAACTTTCTACACGCTATTTAGCTTCTTCATTACGTACGATAATGACTTGTTCAGCACTAAATTCGATACAATTAATCTCGTGATCTTCCGTGCGAAAAAAGTCGGAGAGAAATTTTTCGATTGGATATTCCACGTAAACTTCAGGTTGCGGCCCATCAATCTCTCCGCGCTCGCGTGAAAGATGATCAATAGAATCGGGAAAAAAATGCTTAATGAGGTCAATCACCGAGGAGGCAAGTTGAATAATTCCATTATGGGAGCGGTAGTTAATGTTCAGCTCAAACAATTTAGTTCTTATACCATTATGCATATAATGGTCGAGCTCCCACTTATGCATCAAGGCACGTAAGTCTTATATTGATGTGAAAAAATGTGAGGAAAAAAAGAATGATCCAGATGACATATTCCTAAAAGGTAATTATTATGTACAGTACGTATACAGTACATTAACCTTGAAATCGAAAAGAGGATCCCCGTGCAATACATTGAGCTATATCACCGGCCATCATAATGCTTTCCACTCCGTCAAAGATTTTCAAGATAAGTGAGAAATCCAAGATCTGGTTATCCTGACATTCGTCAATGTCAATTCGTGAATGTATGGACCGCCAAGTGCCTTTTTTTCTGCTGCACGTAATATGATTAACGTTCTGCAAAGAAAAATTTCAAAATAAATTCGAAACAAATGAATTTCTCACACAGTATTTGTTCTTACCGGTCTACTGAGTCATAATCCCCATTTAATGCCTTCATCTTCTCATATTTCTTAAATAAATCATAAATTTCGTCTCGATTATTGCAAAATGCTGGATATTTCTTTGTACTCATGGCCCGATAATCTTCCCGTGAAATATAATCTATCTCGGTATTTGTACCCTTCAAAAGGCACGGAGATTTAGAGGAGGAAGGAGTTTTAAGGCATTAAGTTTTACGTGTAATCCATACCTTGATGACAGAGAATTCCGAGTAGACCAGTTCACAATCTAGTTTCTTTCTGTAGCAATCTTTAAAACGAGGCCTGTAAATCTGATGAATCTTCACTAGATTTTGTAGTGTTTCATTAATTTCTTTTTGCTTGCAGTGACAATCCAAATTATGACAAGTGGTATGTTCAAATAGTTGTGGATAGAGAAACCATAGTCGACCTGCCAGAGAATTCTAAGGCCGCCATAATCAGAAAGCTCCATTTCGTAAACTGGAATATTGGAGGAAGATACGTTGCGTTGTAGACCGTGTTTTTTCCACTTTCCCGATGAGCTTTTTCTCAATTGCCTCAATATAAGACTTCTTTAACATTCCCATTGCCTTAATTGAGTCTTCTTTAAGAAGAATGCACCATGGTCCAAATTTATCATCAAATTCAAATGGAAGACGAAAAATGTGTTGTGGTGCCGAAGGCTCACATTCTTCCACAGACGAAGAGTACTTATGAGGAACGAGACAAACAAGAGCTGCTTGTGACAATTCACGCATGGAAGAATATCAATTAAACCCTAAGGAAGTTAAAATATATCAATACATCCACGTTCAATTACCATATAGAAAAAAAAACTCATGGTCGCGTATGTTTACTTTAAGTGAATTAATCTTTCGTTGTTCAAGGGTTAGCAAAAATTTACGAAACTCCGAAGATTTCTGCGATGGTTCCATCCCCCAGTGTTAGAAGGTTTTTCTTGTGTTGTTTAGATAAGAGTATATTGTCGTTGAATTCGGTTGTGGGATTATCGGTAACGTTTTTTCTGGTTTGGTATCGGCTCTCACGTTCCTCATTGTTGAGCTCAATCATCTGTTTCAAATCAGGTGGCAAAGTATTTTTTTCGAGGTTTTGGACATTTCTCGCATTCTGATGGTTCTCAAAAGCTTTCAGCAAATCTGTACATGCTTTGTAGACAGAGAAATCTTGAGATAATTTAGACGAGATTTCTTTGTGCTCGTAACATTTTTCCACGAGTGCCGCAATTATGTCCTCGGCCTTTAGTAGTTTTTTCCATTCAATCTGCTCAATCATGTTGAAGTCAAACAAGACGCGCTTGATACAACGTTTACCAGGTGCTTCTGATACCAAAACTCCGAAAACGCCATCCGCTTCCATAATCGCATCAAACAGACAATTTTATTGTTTGGAACAATAATCCTTTTTCTTTATTATTAGTCGACGTGGCAAGTCTATCGCTTTGGGTTCGCCAGAGGAGCTCGACGCAATCATTAAGAAACCGCCCAAACCCAAGAATGTCAGAATGACATAGATTCTGTACGATAACAAAAGTTATTAAATTTGAGACAAACTTAATGAAGTTGGATAGCAAGTTGAGGCGTTTGGTGGTTCTTGAATATTCATCAGAGATAAGAAATAAAAATTTGCAAAATTGGTAAATAAGAATCGGGATGATTGTATAACAATTGCGACAACTCGGTGAGAAATTCCTCCAACTCGAATTTTGGCGCTTTGATGCATTGTTCAATAAATGTTTTCTGCATCTGCTCGTTAACATTTGGAGAACTCGTGAGGTCTTTTAGTAACTCAATCAGCAGTCTTTCATCCATTCTTATTTTGCAAAGACAAATTAAAGTGTTTTGAGATCATGTAATATGCTGGTTCTTGCAAGAATGGAGTGTTTTTAACAATTTTGCAAGGCGACTTATGGAGTTACTGTGCAAACGAGGTTTCCATATTTGGTTACAATTACACTTAGACTTTAATGTTATTACAGAAATACTGTATTTGTGCCATGTTAATTAGTACAGTATTCATCAAAATTGTGTCATAATAAATTGCCTTACCGAGTGAGTGTCGTACTTTAGTAGACTAGTTTATGTGTCTGTTGACTAGATTTTTCGAAAATCCGCGAATGGAAATTCACTCAACAAAACACAAGAGCTTTTCTCAGAGTGTAAATAGCACACTCTTTTTGTTAACGATCGCTTTCTTTTTATACTTTTCAATGTACATAATGAGATGGTAAAATAATAAGAATAAACAAAAATTCCTAATACAGTACTATGATTCTGTGTTTTACTAGTTTTACGATCCTCCACTCACCAACACAAACTTTTGGGTAACGTGTGCTCGGAGTATCAGGTAACTCTTGAAGCGTGTTTATGAATTGTCCGATTTTTTCTCTGCCGCTTACTAACTTGCACACTTGGACCAATGCTTCGAACCCTGCTCTAGTTGCTAGTACTTCCCTCTTGTAGACAAATTCCGGTTTTCTGTCAGTCACGTTACTTAGTCATAAGCGCGAAAATCACAAGTTTTTATACTTTGCAACTATTTGCAACATTTATTTTATTTAAATTTTTTATATGTATCGCTCAAAAACACCTGATTCATCTCGTTTTACAACTATTTATATATTGCATATGTTAATCTCACATCGCGTGTTTACAATACACTCACAATAAAAAATAATTATATAGAATACGACATTTAATATGATTTTTCTATTATTTTCAAATGCGGGGAATGTATGCTGTATATGGATAATGCAAATTTTGGATCACCTTTGAAACAATCATATACACAATCATTTGCATTATTCTACATTATTGTTAAACCATCTGAATTATTTAATAATAAATATTTTTAGCAATATTATTTATTGTAAAAGTCATAAATAATAAACATTATATTTAAGACTTTTAAGTAAAAATTAACATTTGGTAATTGTATAATATTAACCTGTTTTATTAAAAGAATAAATAAATATCTCTTTATATGAATTATTATAATACAACCCTTGATTTTCAAATAAATA